GCCAGTCAGTCAGTCAGTCAGGGCCACGAAGATTGGTGCTTGACTGCAGGCACGAGTCACGAGTCAAGGTCACGCGTGTCGTGGGCTTGAAGGTAGGACGTGTCTAAATGAGGGGCGCCAATCGTGGTGCGACTCGGCGAGCTTGATGGTTGTGGTCACACCGATACCACCGATACCCATGTTCACGATTGCAGCGCGCATTCATTCCACATGACTCACGACTCAAGGAGCCCCCGCCGCTCGTCACGACTCATCGCGAGTGTGACTGCAACAGGAGACTCACAACTCGACCGCCTCAAGTTTTCTTCCGCGCTGAACCTCCACTCGTGACTCGTATGCCCGCATGATCAGAGAGAGGCTGGCAGTCGCCGCGAGCACTCGGTCAGGCTCATTCTGCTCGCCTTCGCCGTCGTCTTCTCTTTGTCTCACATCTTCATGAACATCATCTCCCCTCAAAGTACTGAGCGCCGGCACCAGAAGGTGGAGCAGGAATAAGCTGCAGGGAGTGGAGGGACCATCGATGAGCGCAACTTGACTCGCGCTTGCTAAAAAGGCTGCGATGTGTGAGGAGGGGAGGATCATCAGCGGCATTCCAAGACTCGATCATATCCCCGCTTATGAAGAATTTCTGGTGCGTGGGCTCGGTCACGAGTGACGATGCAGCATAGAGATTCGTCGTGCTGTTCGGGCCAGGTGACGCACGCGCTCATCAAATGTAGCCTTTTCCATACCGATTTGATTCAGAATGACTATCTGAGGGCCAATCGACCATGCATCTTGCCTGCTGCCCTCGTATCCCACTGGCCGGCTCGCCGGTGGGCCGACACGGGCGAAGGGCCATCTACTGCTGGCTCGAGCGATGAACCAAGTGCAGATCTGGGCAAAGCCTTCGACGTCCTCGCCGCGAAATTCGGAGATTACACTACGCCGGTGGTACTCAGTGGCCCAGGTGCTGCCAACGAGGAGGAGGAGGAGAAAGCGTATGGCCGTGAAGAACGCGAAGAGATGAAGCTTGAGGAGGCCGTGAAGCTTTTGAGATCGGGCAGAGCCAGCTATGTCAAGGACTTTCATCTGGTGCAGCAGCTCGAGCAGAGGGGCGCAAAGCGCGAAGAAGTGTACACCACGCCATGTCTTTTTGCAGATGATTGTGAGAGGTGCCCTCCGCGTGATCCACACGCACAAAGTCTACCGCTGGACACTGATGCGCATACGCTTGGGTCTCGCTACCCCGTAGGGACCAACAATGTTGGACTTGGCGAGGATGATTTCAGATTCTGCTATGCCGGCGTCAAAGGGAGCGGGACGTCATTGCACAGAGATGGTAAGCGGTGGCCAATCGGGCCGTGCATCTAACATTTAGCTAGTTCAATGTTCTGACTAGCATTCCCACACAAATAAACTCGTCCTCTCTTGCCTTGCAGTGTGTGAGTAGGGGGCGAGGAGGGCACTTGCGAAATCATTAGGCTGACAAATCCTGCGGGTGCGAGTCGACTTTGCTAGACACCAGCTACTCTTGGTCCACCAACATCATCGGCCGAAAGAGATGGCGCTTCTTTCCTGCGCAAGTCATCCCAGGTCTACGTCGTGAGTGTTACAGGTATCGCAATCGCTCACCAACATCACTTGTAAAAGCTTTTGTTTTCATCCCGCCAGGCTTCCCACAAGTCGTTACCTCACAGACTGCCGCTTCCGTATCGCAGCTAGACGAGGCCGCCGCACTCGGACAGCTGGGTCCAGTGCGCGATGGAAAGATGGGCTTCGAGGATTGGCAATGGGCCCGCAAGTACTGCATCGAGATCGAGCAAAAGGCGAGTTGACCCATTGCTGGTGTCTATCGCTTTAAACACCTTGGCTCGGATGTATGTGCAGGGCTGATGTCGTCGAATTGCCCGTTCCTCGCGGCGTGTCGTAGGAGGGAGAAACGATATTTGTCCCCAGCAATTGGTATCACGAGGTTCTGAACTTGGATCACTGCATTTCGGTGCGTATGTGTCATGCTGGTCTATCATCTGTATCCCGAGAACTTGTTGACCTTACCCACCTCGTGTGCAGTTGAACCACAATTGGATCAACTCGAACAACCTTTTGTCCGTCTTCCACTCTCTGTGTGGTGCTATAGAGGCCACCAAGGAAGCTTTGGTGGACGTCAGAGATCTGTTGCAGTCTGCGGACCAGATGAATCGTACTGTATCGTGGAAGAAGGGGTGGTACGAACAGGTCATCGGTGTTGTGGAAATGGATCAAGGATGGGCTTGGCCAGGCTTTTGGCGAATGACTAGAAAGGCGCTCGAGCATCCGCCAGCTGAGGTACGCTTTCGAGACTGCGCTGACATATTTCGACCGATCCACTGCTCACTTTGCCTGATTCACCTGCTCCAGTCACATCTACGACCGCCAGATGCAGAAGTGCAAGCGATCGTCGCAAATTGTTTGAACTTGTTTGCGTCGCGCGAAGAAACATCTTTTTTGGCCTCTCAGGTGATCGAGGATGCTGCGTATTGTGGGCAATTCGTTGGACAGACTTTTGCAACAAGCAATTGAAACTACATTCTGAAGCGCCTTTGAGCGAAGTTTTACGATGTGTTCTCGGGTCGCGTCCAAAGCATTGCGATAGAATCTTCGAGACCCTCGCTTGTTACCTTTGCCAGCTCCTTATAGCCGTGCTTCTTGTAGAATGGCACGGCGGAGGGCGTTGGAGCGGCAAGCAAAAAGATATTGTGTACATCTTCTTTTGCGCTTGCTTCGGCGATGTGTTCGAGTACGAGACTCCCAGCGCCGCTTCGTGCGTGGCGTGGGGACACGCCCAAGATTTCCACGTCTGTCACAGTAGAGTGGAGTGGAGTGGCCAAGCAGCGCGTTGCTTCAGTCACGAGTACGCGCTAAAGCCTGCTGTAGGCAGGCACGTCGGGATGATGTCCTCGAGATCTCGAGCAATCACGAATGCGGAGCGTTAGATGCAGTCTGAGTCACTCACACGCATGTCTGAACTTTCCGGCATACTGGTGATGTGCCTTGTCAAAGTTGGAAATCATCTTTTTGTACAGATCCATGCGAGCGTCCGAGGGATACATGGCCATGATCCTGTCCAGCGCATCGTCCTCTTCTTTGGCATCCTCCTGCGCTTCCACACGCTGCTGCCTCTCCACTTCAACATCGACGATTCTCCACTCCACAAAGCCAAGCAGCTGCTCTTCTTGTGCCACCTTTCCGGCCGCATCAACCGCATCTCGCACCACCACCTCCATTCTGCCCTTTGGTCTTTTGCCGCTTCGAACTTCCTGTAGACTGTGCCCAATCCGTGCACTGCGGGCGCGAATCAGATCTTCCGTTGTTCCCGATGGAAAGACATTCTGCATCATGGGCACAAAGCCATGAGCGAATATCCAGCCAGCTCCATCCACGTCTCTATCTTCCATCGGTCTGATCCTTGGCTGTGCGCTCGACATCTTCGAAGAGACGTGGTAGTAGTGTGCCTTGCAGAATATTAGTGAGTCGAGCATTCAAGTTTTGGATCGAGAAGGAGAACAATCACTCAAAGATCAGGCCCAGCTGTCGTGGCGGAGGAAGAAGAGCGAAAAAGTGCTTCACTAAGCTTGTCAGCCGTACCGTACCGTCCCGTGCCGTACATTAGGCTCCGTCCGGTCTTCGTATCGCAGCAGCATGACGGGACGCAAGGAACGCAGGCTGCATGAAAGTAGCATGCGCTGAGCAAGATCACAACGCACCGGAGCACCGCGGCCCAACTTGCGTGGCTGTCAATGGCTTCATGCAGCAATCGACAACACGTGGATCACGAATGGAATGTGAATGGAGGTCTTGAGTGACAATCATACGACATTTCTCTTCGATAGAATTCGCAAGCCATGGCCGGAAACGCGATTTGTACAGGCAGTGAGTGTATAGCAGGGGACGTAGACAAGCGCTGCCATTTCGAGGTGACATGACACGATGCCAAGGCCTTGGCGGAGCGCAGGCCGGCGCGCTGACTTGACAACCACAAGAGCAACTAAAAAACTCCAAATTCAGACGTTGTTGCCACGCGAAAAGTAAGCTTTTGCTCCATGCGTTGCGAACTCGGACTTTGCTTGCGCGAAAGTATGGCCCTCTGTATCGGATTCAGGATGCTATCAGCGAGATCAAAGCTGGACCAACAAAGGCGAGCACCACACTCACGCTCTTTGTTGTGCTTCCAGATGAGGCGATAGTACCACAAATTACCCAGACCCTGAGCGGCGAAACCAATCGTGACGACTGCGTATAGAGGCGCATCGAGGTCAGTAGACTAGTCAGACCGAACCCTTTAGTTGGCTTTACTCACTGATACCGAGGATGCCCGCCACAACTTGATGAGGACCAAATGGAAAGGCAAATATTAGCGAGAACTCCTATGCTGGGATATATTTCGAGCGGACACGCACTGCTCCTGTGATTGTCGTCAGTGAAGGAGTAAATGGTGTTCATCAAGCCTGCAGAACCAGTGGCAGGAATGCCTAGGACAAGGTACAAGGAGAAGACCACTGCGGCGTGGAGGAGGAGAGAGACATCAGTCGCCTTCCTGGAGCATCAGCCTTGTCGCCAAAGGCCTACTCACGATGAAAGCCACAGCTGGCAGACCGCGAACATTGGAAATGTGAATCGTTAGCAACCAATGCGTGGGACAAGGATGCCAAATAAAACCCACAAGCTGTTGGCAGACGAGAATGTTGGGTCAGCATTACTTTTCGCGTCGTTCGCCGTCTCTGCGCGCTGTACTCACACAAAGTACAAGTCTGAATAGCAGACATCAATGATGCGGCGGAAGCAAGCTCGGTGAGCAGTGACAGCGCGTGACCAGTAATGCAGCACTCTACTCACAATAGAAGATGGAGTGTTCTTTCATGAAACCGTTGTAAATCGGCCTGTACCATGTCAAGAAGCTGAGCACTCCAATCACAGGAAGGTAGATTGCTGACGTGATGATATCCTTGATGCCATCCGCACCGCGGCCGATCAAGAATACGCATGCGACCACCTAGATCTCGAGCAGACAAGACGTGTATCAGTTGCGAGCCTACCCAGCAGGCCGTCATGACTCACATTTACAATCAAAGTTGCCAGCAGCAATAGCCATAGCCAGTATAGGTGCGTCACGACCTGCTGGCTGGCAGGAGGGATCTCGGATGAGATGTCGTGATAAATCAATGGGAAGACTACAGGGTGCACGCATGCAGGATCGAGATCGGTATCTGATCAGCCGCGAATAGAAAGCGGCAGAAACGCCGCGTGGTAGGTATTCATAGCGACCCCCAAGAACCACTGGAACACCCCTCATTCTCACAACTTCCAGCTCTGGTTAGCGCCCATGGAACGCCACAACAAAGACACCAGCAAGGTGGTCAAGCGCGTGCTCTGTTTGAGAAAAGTGGTTGATGCTGCTGGACAGGCCCCTCACGATTTACGGACACGGCTTGCCGAATGCGACTCCCGCTCATCCAACTTCGAATCCCTTTGTGCCACCCTACATTACTCACAGAAGGGCCAATTATTCCTGCCAACCTTTCTGATAGTCTCTGCACGCTGTTCCAATTCAGCCTCCCTTCGAGCAAGAGCCTCCTCCCTTCTCCGAATCTCCTCCATTTGGGCGGAGCTCTGCCCGCCGCCTGTACCTCTAGCAGCGCTAGATGGGTACTCTGGCGCATCATCGTCGAATGCCGACTTTGGCGTAGATACTGAAGCTCCACCACCACCGTAGTTATACGGCTCATCCGGCTCGAATGTCCTCTGCCCACTCGAAAGGGCGCCCTGGACCGCGGGGTCCGCGAAAGGGTTAGCGTCTAGCGCGCCACGATCACTGAATGGGTCTGCAAAGCCCGAAGGTTCAGGTCAGCGTCGGACATAGCATGTATGATGAACTAAAAAGGTCTGAACTCACTAGCCATCTTTGCCGGTATCTATTGCTCAAGAGTCACTCCTCAAAGCCACTTCGGCCTGCCGGCTGTGTGCGCAATAGAGACGGTGGGACCCGATGATGACAATGATTACTCAATGTAGTAGGCGAGCGTGACTTCTGCTGCGGTAAGCTTGGAAGCGAAGTCGATGCTAGAACGAGGATGCACTGGGCCTTGCTAGTCGGTTTGGAGAGGCGATAGAGATCGTGGTTTGACCCAAGTCTGCTGCATCGATCGCACGATGAACGTCCGCTGCTGGCGTGACCTTACAGCCCGCCGCTGCTGCTGGGTGACACGCATGGCTGTGCGGTGAGGCGTGCCCAGTCGGCGTCCCCCTTGATTGACCGCTGCGCCGCGACGCGACCGAGGGCACGGGGGCACGCCAAGGACGGCGGCAAACAAGCTCAACGCGCAGCGCAGCTATTCTTTGAGTCACGTGGCCTTCAGCCCGCTGCCCCCCCC